CATAAATAGACCAAAAAATAAACCAACTTAATTTTAATGTCAACATGATGCTAAAATAGATAAATTTTTGATCTTGCGTAGCATGGCATGCGTGATTGCGTAATACATAAAAAAGCAATGCGTTCTCAGTAGGGATGGGAAATTGCATGAAATTTCAAAATTTCATGCGCATTTTATGCAGTGCTTTTTTTTTTAAATTTTTTTAATTTATTTTTTAATTTATTTTTTTAAGAAAAATCACTTCAGTTCTAGAAATTCTATCAACGAAATTACTTATTGAATGATTTTGCAAATTAGTTGAAATTGTAGTTATAGTTGTTGATGATGATGATGATGATGATGATGATGATGATGATGATGATGATGATGATGATGATGATGATGATGATAATGACGGTGATGATGATGATAATGACGGTGATGATGATGATGTTATTGGATGGGTTTGTCCAAATATAGATTGCATGATAGAAACAGGTACGGAATTACATTTCTTCAAATGTTGTTTACACCTTCCAAGAGCTTCATTTAACTCATAGTTACAATATTTGCAACTTGCTCTATTTTGCTTATAACCACTAACTTTACCCAATCTGGTAAAATGAGACCAAATGTCTGAATTTGTCATTTTTAAAGAATAGTATAAATGTTTTACGGGTAATTTTAATGATAAAAAATTTAATTAAAATGTAAAAATGCTGTTTAATTTTAATTGGGTAAAATTTAATTTCCGCATTTTCTGTATGTGACATTGCATGATTTGAAAAAAAATCGTGCGCATTGCATTTTTTTTTCATGCGCATGGAACATCTCTAGTTCTCAGTTGTAAAATTTCATTATTATTATTATCACGTGATAAAGATCGGCCATTAAAAATTCAAAATTTTCAATTCTTCCAATTCGTTCATTTTTAATATATTTTTTTGTGTAACACGCCATCTGGGGGGTTAACATAGTAAATAAGGGGGTGTAGTAGATTGGTGGTATTTTTCTTTTTTTAAGTCAGTTTAAAATAAAAAAAGATCTATTGTATCTATATAAAAAATTTAATATGCACTATCAATTATCCACAAGCTTAAATCAATCATTAATTAAAAGACAATTTTTATCATCATCAACATCATTATCAAATATAAATACAAGATTGGTATTAGGAAATTCAGGAAAATCAATCAATCAATCATTTCATTTTTCTTTTAAATTAACAGCTTTTTCAACAACATCAAAAATCACAAACAACAATAATGACAATTCTAATGTTTCTAGAGGCAGCAGTAACAACAATAATCTGAACTTATCAAAATTTGATGGTATTGTACTACGACAAAGTTTTCTTGTTTTTTGCTCTAGGTTACTAATGTTTAAACACACTGCCAGCGCATATGGAATATATATACATACACACACGACATTGCCAAGCAAACAAAATGGGTTGATTAATATATTTTTTTAGGATCACGATTATCACAATTCTTGTGTGATATTTAAAAATTAATTTTAATAAGATGGACTAGCTTTGTTCAATTTATATTATTATTACGTGGGAATACGGTAAAGTGGATCGATTGATCGACTAAAGGTATTACATATTAATATTATTGTTCGATTATCAGGGAAGCTAAAAATAAATGATACGAGCCACCCTTTTATTAATATTGGGGGGTTTATAGGTAAATAAGGGGGTGTAGTAGATTGGTGGTATTTTTCTTTTTTTAAGTCAGTTTAAAATAAAAAAAGATCTATTGTATCTATATAAAAAATTTAATATGCACTATCAATTATCCACAAGCTTAAATCAATCATTAATTAAAAGACAATTTTTATCATCATCAACATCATTATCAAATATAAATACAAGATTGGTATTAGGAAATTCAGGAAAATCAATCAATCAATCATTTCATTTTTCTTTTAAATTAACAGCTTTTTCAACAACATCAAAAATCACAAACAACAATAATGACAATTCTAATGTTTCTAGAGGCAGCAGTAACAACAATAATCTGAACTTATCAAAATTTGATGGTATTGTACTAGGTGTATTCAAGGATGGTACATTAAGTCAAACTATTGGATCAAATAAACTTCCTGGAAAATTTCAACAAACAATCAAAAAAAAACTTGAATATTATGGATGTAGTAAAGGAAATTTAGGTGAATGTAAATTGTTGTATGGAATTGATAAAATTAATGATGATGCTGCTGTTGATGTTGACAGTGGTAACAGTTTTCCTAAAAAAATTGCTATTGTTGGATTGGGTAAAAGAAGAGATTTCAAAAACCCTAGTAATGATCAAGAGTTATGTGAGGCTTTGGAAATTGCTAGAAATGCAGTAATGTTAATTATCAATCATGATAAAATGAAAATTTATTATGATTTTAAACTGTTAGAATATCTTGTTAAATCATTACTTACTGTACATTATTACTATTTGCTTATTTTAGTCAGCTGTTGGAGTTCGCAGTCTAAGAGAAAATAACGCTAAAAATATTTTAGTTGATGTCATGACTAATGAACATGGTAAATTGATGTGTGTAATAATATAAAGTAATTCATAATTTAATATTAATTAATATATTTGTAGGTGCTGCTGAAGGAGCAATACTTGGATTATATAATTACGATACTTTAAAATCTGTTAAAAATCAAAAATCACCGATAACAATTACACCACTTGGATCAAAATCATCATCATCATCATCCTATTCTTCTTCTCTAACTACTTCGTTTTCACCATCTGAAACAACAACTGGCATCAATAATTTTAAAGAGTTATCATGGGAAACTGGTTTGATTTATGCAGAAGCACAGAATTTTGCTCGTACACTAATGGAAGCGCCAGCAAATTATATGACCCCAACAAACTTTACTGAATATGTGCAATCAAAATTTAACAGATTGTCAAATGTTGAGATAATTGTCCGTGATAAGGATTGGGTGGAAGAAAAAAAAATGGGATCATTTTTGTCAGTTTCCAAAGGATCTGATGAACCTTTGAAATTTTTGGAGATGCATTATAAAGGTGGCAGTGACAAGTCATCATCGTCGTTATTAGCATTGGTTGGAAAAGGAGTCACGTTTGATTCTGGTGGTATTTCATTGAAACCATCTTCAAACATGTCAGAAATGAAGGCTGATATGGGTGGAGGTGCAGCTGTTTCTGCATCTTTGTATGGCATAGCAAAATTAAGATTACCAATTAATGTTGTAGCAACAATTCCATTATGCGAAAATATGCCTTCGGGTTATGCAACTAAACCTGGTGATGTTGTAATAGCGATGAATGGTAAATCTATTGAGGTTGGTAATACTGATGCAGAAGGTCGTCTTATTCTAGCTGATGCATTATACTACACCAGTTCAACTTTCAAACCTCATACTTTAATTGATATGGCTACCTTAACAGGTGCAATGGGTGTGGCATTAGGTAATGTTTATTCTGGTGTATTTACCAATTCTAATGTATTATGGCAACAATTATCAAGTTCTAGTAAAAAAACCAATGATAGATTTTGGCGAATGCCATTGGAAGATGCTTATAAAAAAGGGCTGGAGAAATCAAGTGTAGCAGATTTGGTTAATGTTGGTGGTGATAGGTATGGAGGGTCAAGTGTTGCTGCTGCTTTTCTAAAAGAATTTGTTAATGGATTATATAAAGATTTAAATGTGAAAAAAGATAGTGATGAGGTTGATGATGATGATGATGATGAAAGTGAAATTGGTGGTGTTAGAATTAAAGATGCAGATGAATTGAATTGTATTAGGTATGCACATATTGATATAGCTAGTGTTATGCTTACTACAGATGATTCTGGTTATAATATTAAAGGCATGAGTGGTAAGTGATTATCATTATCATTATTATTATTATTATTGTTATTATTATTATTTTTATTTTTATTGCTTTTAAATGAAAATGGTGAAATAGTAGTTGATAAAAAAAAACCAATACAATCATTTAAAAACTTATATATATTGTTTATTTTATAGGCCGTCCAACTAGGTCAATTATTGAATTTGCAAGAAATTTTGGTTAAGTAGAAATAAAAAGTGTCTATTTATGACTTGAACAAAAGAACATTTTACTCCAGATATCATCGCATTCTTAAATGGAGGTTTTGTCAGATGTGAACCTTCTTTCTAATTTCTTATAAAAAAAATAAATAAATATCGTTGATTTTTCTCTTATTCCATTTCTCATAATTGCATAAATAAATTTTTTTTTTTCAATCAACTAATTTCATTTTTTGTCAATAAATATATAATATTTGTTTAATTATTAATGTACGTATAAGCTCAATAATCATCTAACGTTTTTATAGGAAAGATGGTTAAATCCATTTTATACATTTTTTCAATCTATCCTTCAAGTAAATAAAATTATTGAATAATTTTTATATTATTCAATAAAAAAAAATATTTACAAAGGAATACATGTCTTGATCTTTTTTTTCCCTAAAAAAATTTTTATTATATAGTGATAATCGTCACCTTCCTAAAAAGTATAGAACTCGAGAACCAGTGAACTAAAAATTTTTGGCGTAGTGGCGCAGTGGACTAGCTCCTACACCATATCCGATTTTGTAATAATAATATTATGGAAAAAAACACGGAATGTATATTTATTAATATAAACGAAAAAGCACCGAGTTTAATAACGGAGTAAATTTTTTACAGGCCAGATAATGAACTATATATTATTGATCGAGAGAACCGGATTAAATTCCGATAGTTTTCTTATATACCTAGAAGAGTATTCTCATATAAACAATTATTATTTGCTTGCTTTATTAGTTATTAATAAAAAAAAAAAATGAAAAGTTTAAATTTGTCAGTATAATAATAAGTTAATATTGATAATAAAAAGGACTATTTTTATTTGTAACTTTATCAGTTAATTAATTATCTCATTTTATTAAAAATAAAATACGGAATAGGTACGGAATAGGTATGGAATGCAAAAAAAAGACGTATAAAAGGCGCGGGAAAGCGTATAAAAAGTACAGAAATTTGTTTTTGTTACATGAACTGTTTTCGTACTTTTTATATTATTATGGTTTTTCCATACCTTTTGTATGTCTTTTCCATACTTTTTTGCATTCCGTGTCTACTCCGTACCAATTCCATATTTTATTTTTTATATGGTATTTCAATGTTTACAGCCACATGCATAATTGGGAGGAGATAAAATCCAGCTGTAATATTAATTTCAACATTCATCTATTGTCATTCTCATAACTCAGTGTTATAAAAGAAACTAGGGACTGGAATGTCATTAATTTGACCAATAATGTATTATTATTCGTCGTCTTTTTCTTTCACCTATACACCTTATTATCACTGCCCATTTTCTGTCATCTATACTCTACCTTTCTTTCCTTTTAAATTTTTTTGTATATTATTACTAACTTGTTGACTAATTACGTATTAAATATCTTCAGACGAAAGAATAGCAACTACACCTAAATATCTCTTGGAACCAGAGGAAGGCTGTGTCAGCCTGACAGTGATTATCACCTAATTAGTTGAAAGTGATTGCAGACTTCATTAACAATCATCATATTAGCCTCCTGCGTAGTCCTCGATTCTCAGGCAAGAGTACACTGGTGAGGTGCTTCAAGACTATTCAATAACTGGGACATAATGCCATATATATTTCTCTTGCTGGTATTGGTGGGAAAGAAGTCCTCAATAACGAGAGACTCTTTGAACAATTCTGGATGAATAATTTGGTTACACCTGAATGAACATCAGTTGCAGCAAAGAATCTACAGTTGTTATTATTGATGAGACACATGTTATCTGTGATAATCATCCTAAATTATTTTGGGTAGAATAAAAGAACCTCTGTCAAATTCTTGGACGTAATCTCTGTCTTCGAATACTTCATATCATCCAACACTTGAAAACTAGTACACACCAGTGTGGTATATTTAGTCTGGATGTCTCACTCCTAACATGGGATGAATTTCAGCAGCTTGTAAATAGCTATGTTCAATTGAGCAACTCACTTTTCAAACGTTTCTAGGCATGTTCAAAATACTATCTTTAATATCACTAATGGACACCCTGTTCTATGTTGATTCGTTTTGTCAATGATCTGTATTCATTTCGTGAAAGCAAAGAATGTTGCAATATTTTTCTTCACTGGAATTACGAAATCAAGCTCACGTGCTTTTACCATGCGTACAAAATTTATTTTGTGATTTTACACAGAAAACAAAATTCACTATTCTTAAAAAAAGTTTTCAATTTCTTCACCGTTCAACATTAATTAAATTTTACCATTTCCAAAATAAATAAAGTTAAAATGTCATTTAATAAATCATTATCACCAGAAAGAAGAAACTTTGTAGTTAAAATTAATGCTGAAATGTATAATAATGCTCTATTGAATTCTAAAAAAGAAAATAGAAAAGATTATTTTTTTTCATTAGTCAAAGAAAATAAGGAGCTTCTTGAAAATGAAAAACAATTTTGTGAGGAAAAGTTTATTTATGATTTTGAATTAAATGATGTAACTTACAAATTGGGCAAATCAAAAGAATGTGACAAGTGTAAATTAACAAGATACTCTGATAGATTCTGTGAAGGTTGTATTAGCTTACAATTACAGAGTCTTTTCACCACTTGGACATCTG